GCCGCCTGTGTCACAGTTGACAGAGTTTGGATGTATTGGGAGGTGTTTTCGAGACGGTTGACGATGCCGTTTTGTACGTCGAGGAGAAGGAGAGCGGCTTTCTCGGTTGCCATGGTTCTTGACTTGCTTAGTATATTTGCAGTAGAATAGTGACTTAATGATTGTTCGACTTTGATTATAACCAATTGCTGGGTATACTAAGTCATTTTATGCTTGCTGCTGGAAACCCGGTGACGGGATGGTTAGCCAAAGCTCCGTCCTGTGATTGGTGGAGAAGCCCGGTTCCGGGATAGAAAGCCGGTACCGGGATGGCCTCGAGCTGTCACAATAATGGGCCGCGGGGGTCGTTTCTTTCTACTCCTTCTACCCTGCTTTTTCTTGGGTAGTGAGTAAACTGCCTCTTTGTTCATATCTGAAAAGAGGTTCCGCAAAGAAATCAAGTGTCCAATATGAACGACAACCCATCCTCTTCATCGGCTACAGAGACCAACGCCCCCGATATAGAAAAAGAGCCGGACCAGAATGCACCACCAAGGCTGGATGTATTTTCAGTCTTCACAGTGAACCAAAAGCGAGCCATGGTGGCTACTGGCTCTATGGCAAGCTTCTTCTCACCACTCTCCTCAAGCATCTACTTCCCTGCCATGGACACGATAGCAGCAGCGCTGAACGTCTCCACATCCAAGATTGACTTGACTGTCACGACCTACCTGGTGAGTCTGAAATCTCCTAAAAAAGCATTTAAAATCACTAACAGTATATCTTATACTGCAGATAATGCAAGGCGTTGCTCCCATGTTGATCGCCGGATTCTCAGACACAGCCGGCAGACGTCCCGCCTACATAATCTGCTTCACCGTCTACATCGCCGCCAACCTCGGCCTTGGCCTCCAGAATGACTACAGCTCACTACTAGGTCTACGATGCCTTCAAAGCGCAGGAAGCAGTGGCACCGTGGCGCTCGCCAACGGCCTGGTCGGAGACCTGGTCACATCTGCAGAACGAGGAACATACATCGCATTCGCTTCGTTAGGGAGCATGCTCGGGCCTTCTCTATCTCCGATCATTGGTGGACTCCTCAGCCAATACCTCAACTGGCACTGGATATTCTGGTTTCTTCTCATCTACTCAGCCGCCTTCTTCCTTCCTCTCCTACTCTTCCTCCCCGAGACCTGCCGCAAAGTGGTCGCCGACGGCTCCGTTCCACCCCCAACCCTAAACAAAAACCTAAGCGACACAATCCGGCACCGCAACCGAAAGGCCAAAGGTCTCGTCGTAGAGGAAAGCAAGCTCGCCGAAGTACGCAAGAACTACTCCTTCCGGTGCCCATCACCCATGTCCACACTAAAGGTCACCGCCGACCTCGAAACGGCCGTTATCCTCCTCGCCACGGGACTGACCTTCGCATGCTTCTACGCTGTAATGACTGGAGCTACGACCTCATTCCACGATACCTACCATCTCAATGACATCGAAACAGGACTGATGTACCTCCCTATCGGGGCCGGCGGCATCGTATCAGCATTCACCACGGGCCGTCTCATGGACTGGAATTATCGCCGACATGCCGCCAAGGCGGGACTCCCCATTATCAGGAACGTGCGACAAGATCTAACGAACTTTAATATCGAAAAGGCAAGGCTGGAAGTCGGACTGCCTATGTACTACACGTGCATCGTGTCCATGATCGCGTACGGCTGGGTCCTCGGCCACAAAGTGAATTTGGCTGCGCCGATCATCCTGCTCTTCATCTCGGGGTGGAGTCTGAATGGCACATCGCAGGTCTTAAATGCCATTCTTGTTGATCTGTGGCCGAGTCGATCTGCAGCTGCAACGGCAGCGTGTAATTTATTTCGCTGTGAGTTGGGAGCTGCAGCTTCAGCGGCGATTACGCCAATGAGTGAGGCGATGGGACAGGGATGGGCGTATACAACGCTGGGGTTAATTACTGTAATTGTGTCGCCGAGTTTGTGGGTGGTCATGCAGAAGGGCATCAAATGGAGGCAGAGAAGATTAAGGAAGGAGCGGGAACGGGCAGGTATAAGTCAGTAGGGGGTGGGGGGTTGATGTGAAATGGATGAAGATGAGATATGTCTGACTGGGGTATAGATTGCTTAGAATCTGTTAGATGGTGGATAAAAGTATATGTTTATCGTTTGACTATGGGAACCTTATCTGGGATATGCTCTTTTGTGTGTGTTCATTTACATTAGACTACGTATGCATCTGACTACTTAGAACTACTTCAGAAAGGTTAATAGTCTTGATGGACCTGCTACGACTACACGGTATGTTATACAGTTGAAGAATCAGCTTGATTGCGGGAAGAAAGCTCCACTCAAAAGTGTGTATGATTTAATTAAAAAAAAAAAAAAAAAAAAAAAAAAAAAAAAAAAAAAAAAAAAAAAAAAAAACCACCCAAAGGGGAAGCGAAGGAAACCGTAGTGCAGGCAAAATAGAATTAACAGGGAACAAAAGACAAGACACTTCAAAGGTCAGGACAATGAAAGACTAAGCCAACAGAGAATATGATGCAGGAGGGATTTATACATAAGGCCTTTGGGTGGTACAGGAAAGGTAATTAAAGACAGCAGACAGGAAAAGGGCATGATAGTGAGACAGGGCGAAGAGATATTGGAAATGGGAGGAGCGGGGGCATAAGGAGATAACAGACGAAAGGGAGGTGGAAAATCAATGGTATGTGAAGATGGTAGTACAGAGTGCAAGGGGAGAACTTAAACAACGGGGAAAGAAGAAAGTTGATTCGGTCGGCAAGAAAATATTGACGCAGAGGGAGGGGGGGTCAACTGGCGACGGGGATATAGAAACTAATGAATTCCGGGCAAATCTGCCTCCAGCAGCTGGTAAAATCGCAAACAAACCATAATCGGCCCATTGATAATTCTATTTGGCAAGTCCCGATTTCCCTCGCCACAAGCTTCCTCTGACGCCAGATATATGAGTTTAGTGGTCAGACTTGAAGTAGACAAATGTAGCGAGAGAGAAAACAAGGTTGTAAAATAGAGTTATCAGTGAATTGGTATGCTAGGCATGACGTTAGACTATATCTGACCGGCCGACAAACCCACAGAAACACTGATGAAGTCACCTCCTCCATGATCCCAACCTACATTTCTTACAATCCTCAGTCACAAGCTCCCTCTGACACAAGTTATATCAATTTAGTAGTCAGAATTGGAGTAGACAAATGTGGCTACGGAGAAGGAAATGTCAAGGCGGAGTCATTCTCAAGATGACATGCTACGGCCAGTTCATGACCGTCTCTCAGGGCTCGTGTGGTGTAAGGTATGGCGTTTGACTTCACCCTCGAAGCCTAGGTTAGACTATTCAGATGGTCCACTAGAGTCTAGGTTAGATGTAGACAGTGAGCCTCGGTCGATTCAAACGGGTGATTCTATTCAGGTCTTTTGTAGACAAAGCTTATAGACACGACAATAAATCCCCATTGAACAGAGACACCCATCGTCTAGTCACAACAGCAATATGAGACAATATATTTCACATGACCGGCAGTAAAGAAACATGGATATAGATGATGTTGGCAAAGAAGAACGGGACGATACCGCCACACAGCCAGGCGTTCGTTCACATTCTTCACTAATGTCACGCCCACTGTCTACCCTGGAAGGTAAGACTTGTTCCCCGTAAGGTAAAAGCTTGCCTTTTCACTGCAGACAGAAATCCCCCCCGCCTCCCATCCTTATCAGTCACCCCCTGAGCTATAAGAGTTATAACTCCATCAAGAATGACCCCAAAAATGACGGCGGCAGACTTTCCGTCCGCTTGAAAACCCAGCCTCACCCTTAAGGGCTTAGTCAACCTTTTAGGGTAGGCAGATGGTAAGGAGAGCATGGGCGAAGGTCGATGTAGAGGGAGCCTGGCTGATGTAGCCGTAGCGCCTCCTTAAAACAAAAGAAAACAAGGTAAGAGAGATTTAGCTGTGCATCGGCTAAGAGCTGCAAAAAAGTGCCAGAGCGTGGTCCATGCTGCTCACTACACTATTCAGATGCACCATTAGAAACCTCCATCGTCAGAGTCATACCACTCAAAATCATGGACTTATTTAGTGACTAGCTGTTGAGGGGTTAGAAGTGCACAACTTTCTGTGTAGCGGCATCAGGGTCAGCCAGGCACCGTTGAGAAGCGTGATGAAAGATTGTGGACGAGGGGACATCAGGTCCTATTTATGCTTGGGACGGGTGGCAAATCAATGAATGGCAGGTGCCTTCAGCAATGGTGTTAACGGGAAGTTCCTGAAGTTTTGATGAAATTACCATATGATTATAGGTAGACTCCATGCACCGCAACTTCACCAGTGTCCGTAATTCCCATATGGTAGGTGTAAATATAGTTCCATGAAAAAGGGATTTCCTACTTTATCATCGGATACTTGGAATAGTGGTGTTGCACCAGATGGAGTCATCCTGTCTGATATTCTCAACATCAGTGGGACCACAAGACAAAACAGGGATTTTCCGCTTAAGACTTCACATGGACTGTGATTAGCCAGGCTGAAACCATTCCACTTCTGAAGACACCCAAAAACCTTGATGCTACCGTTTCGATCAATTTGAGAAGCACTGGGACTTTCGGGGCCTTCAATCGAATCCACTACAATTCTTATTACGCTTCACAATATATTCAGTCGGCATGTTCCGTCAGACTCGCATATTATCATTACGGGAAATTCCACTGTCAAGACAACTAACAGGCAGTCAACATGATGGTCCCTAACGCGGTATATTCCTGGGCCACAGGATCTTTAACCATCCAACGAAGGCCATCATGTATGCATGGTCATGTCCTTCTCAAGCTAGTCTATAAGTCTGCCCTTGATGGAGGAGGAACTTGGACGGGTTGAATGTGGAAATTCTATAGTTACTTGACAGGAAAATAGAGGATGAGAGGAAGGATCTGTCCTATACGAATAATGCTATATTTATACTCTGTCCTGTATGTTCTATCCTATGCGTGTGAATTCTGTATCTGATATTTACTGTCTTGGCTTTATCTGACAGCAAAAACGCATACATTAACATATTGGTGATCAGGCTACTGCAACGCTATTTCCAGTAGAGACTGACGTCTTGTAATGTGTGTTTAAAGGTCCGATATACTGTAATTTCGTTATGACAGTTTCAGTTCAATGCTACTGCCCCAAACCGAGTCAATCCTCGGACCTCCGACACTTCCGATGCATCAGTTTCGGTTTCCTGGTCGAGGGGGTTCGGAGGAAAGATGTCCCCATATTCTCCAGGGGTCTGTCTGGCCCAACGCCCGAAATCTTTACTCACATCATCCACCTGCTTTTTGATATCCTCAATCACCACCCTGCACAGATGCCAGCGCCACTTGACATAGCTGTTCAAGATCATCTGCTCAGCATGTTCGGGACTAAACTCAAATGTACTTTCAACTATCACGTAGTTAGTAAGACGATAAACAATCTCATTGCTAGATGAGAGGGATGAGGACTCAACTCACCAATATACACCATCTCTTCAAGTTGCCCACACAGGTCAACCAGAAGTTGATAAATTGCGGTCTGGTGGCGCCAGACACTCGGCTCAGCCACGACTTGGTAGAAGTTAATCTGTTTGAGAAAGTGCATTGATTCATCATAAACAGTAAGTCCGCTTCGGATGTCATATACCCTGTCCAGTGAGTCGATCTTGACAAGCTTCCCAAGGCATTGTGAGGCGTAAATATCATTCTGATCAATCTGGAGGAACATGTGGTTCTGGTCTTCTTGGGCCTTCTGGTGGAAAGATGCAAGCCCAGGCTCCCATTTGTAATAGGTATCCAACTCTTCGTGGTTGTAGCCGTTGGTTGCTGTCATGTTGAGGAGCCTGCTAAGATGGGAGCTGGGTTCAGTTACGGCTTAGTAAGTCCGCAAGTGATGTCACCCGTAGGTTTGGAGGTGAATCTGAAGCAGCTGTGGGTAAGTTGTTTATATATCGGTGAAGGCGGTGCGCACGCTGAAGGGTATATGAACGTTCAGTGAAGCCGTGGGATGGTTTCTGAGATTATATAAATGTCCTATGGGATATACCACCAAGGCCAGTCGTGATACTTCCAACATGAGCGCATATTGCCGACTATGCATCAGATAACAGATGGGTGTATCAGGACGTAGAATAGGAGATAGCAGGTAGGATCAATTGCCAGGACATTCCAGGACATTCCAGGACGTTGCCTCTGAAACAGAGGGATACGACCGGAGGGTAAATATGCCTTTCTTCGGTTGTATTCTCTGCAAAAACATGACAGAAAGTCATGGTAACAGCTGAAAGAGACCTCAATACAGACCTTATGGCTGCTAAGCCGGCGCATATTTGGGCCGAAGGGGGGTCACATCAACCTCCGGTTGGTAAGAGTGATAACTATCGATCTAGTCAACCGGTCACCAAAGCCGAGGTGAAAGCTAGGGCTTACTATTTGTCAAGGTCTTCCCGTAAAAAGCAAGCAAGATATCATGTGAGATTCGACAGAAACTCCGTTTTTCATGTCGTTGATCCAAGCGAGCCAATTAGATCGGTTGAAAATAAATTCATGTCCAGATAGGAAGAAAAGCAATTATAAAAATCGCCACATCCGTGAGCTTAGCGTAGCTTGAGTCTGCATGAGACTACTTGTTAGTGCAGTAGCGCCTTCATGAATACGCAGATATCGTTTATTCATGAAGCTACTGCGCTAGTGGCGAGGGGGATTATGACAAATAACATGCAATAGTCAATTCCTGCGAGAGTAGTATGCATCAAGTTCCATTTTACCCGTGATTTCGCCGCCGGCACATTCCTCTATAAGGCCGGGCTATAGGATTCTTTCTCAAAAACCCCCAGATCATCAGCATCACTGTGCTATCTTCGATCACTCCAATCATGTCTTCTCAAGCCCCAAGAACGAGCAACAAGTTCCGAGAGGTCACCAAAGGCCTGAAGGAGATCACCGCTCATCCTATAAACTCCTCCCATGTTCATATTGAGAACCCCATTGGCTCTGTACAGGTACCTGTGGGATTGGCCGGCCCGCTGCTCGTCCGGGAGATCGGGAAGGCCGGCGAGCAAAAGGGCGAAGAGGTCTACGCTCCTCTGGCTACCACCGAAGCGGCTCTGGTTGCCAGTTGTAGTCGGGGCTGCAAGGCGTTTAGTCGAAGCGGGGGCGTCCACATCACATCACTTAGTGATACCATGTCCAGGTACGAACCTCACAACCATCCATTCATTGGCAGCCAGCGAAGAGCTTCAATCGAACGGGACAAATAATAACTGAGCATTAGGACCCCAGCCTTCAAGTTCGATTCGCCCACCGACGCCCTACTCTTTGCCGAGCAAATTCCTACTTTCAGTAGTGAACTGAAACGGATTGCCGAGTCTACCAGTCGTCATCTTCGGCTACTTTCCGTAACTCCCACGGTGGTGGGCTCCGAAGCCCACCTAAAATTCAACTATGCATGTGGCGACGCTGCCGGCCAGAACATGGCCACCATCGCCACTCACCGTGCCTGCCGCGAGATGCTGTTAGACCCTGCTGTTGCTCAGCTGCTAAAGGTTCGCGGATTCCTCATAGAGGCCGGTTTGTCGGCAGACAAGAAAGGAAGCTGGTCACATCTGATGAAACCACGAGGTGTAGAAGTCATGGCATGGGGTTCTATTACCAATGAGGCTGCTAAAGAGGTGCTCGGATGTACATCTGAGGCCATGTACCAGGGAATTTCTCGGCTGCAGTCCGCGAACATCAGGGCAGGAGTACATGGCAACAGTGTCAACGCCATGAACATCGTGACGGCTCTTTTCATCGCGACAGGACAAGATGTCGCCAGCATCGCCGAAGCATGCTGGAACCAGCTCGTGCCCGAATACAACAACGAAACCAAGGTGATAACTTTGTCGTTGTACATCCCATCGCTCCCAGTGGCCATCGTGGGCGGCGGCACACACCTGGGCCCTCAGCGAGAGGCTCTTGAACTCATGAACTGTAGCGGACCTGGAAAGAAAGGTCGGCTCGCTGCGTTAATAGCTGCGTTTGCCCTTGCCCTGGAAGTGAGTACTGCGGGGGCCCTGCACACTGACACCTTTACCCAAGCTCATAAGGGCCTTCGCCGAAAGCCCGATGACGGTAACAATGCAAAGCTCTGATTAATGGTAGTACGATCACGAAGAACGTCCGTCCAAAGACAGACGGTATATGATTAGCAGTACTAAATGAGATATGTCTTGTTGCCTTCGACTCAAAGTCTTGTCCGTTCCTGGTAGCTAGGTCTCCATTTTGTAGATACTGCACGGTGGGGCTCTGGTCAGTCTCGGACGTTCCAACACATGACGACAGTAATCTGATCCATAGTCCATTTAGACTTTGCCTGAGACATCCAAGCCAGACTTGGCACCATTCTCGTCTTTGACGACCACTGGCAGCACCGTCACCGCCTCAACTCCGTCTACCCGATCGGGATCGAATTCGTCCCAGTATTCCTTTGGCTCTTTCCACCCGCTCGTATTCTCGGTTTCAGCAGGAGGCCAAACCATACATCCGAGGTAATACACTCCGAATGCGATAAGCAGGCCAACAGGGTATGCAACAAAGTAAAATCGTTGTATACCCAAGGGTGCCTTGACACCCATCTGGTTTAGGAAGCCGTAGAAGTTCGGTGCAACTGCTACAAGATAAGCACCGAAGCCGCGGAGATTAAAACCGTGGAAGAAATAATAGACCCCATCGGTACGTGCTGTGTATAATGCCGGAATGTCAAGCCATCCCCGTCGGATGAGGTAGTAGTCGCATATCAGAACACCAGCGATAGCAGAGAGAAAGATTTGATAGGAGGAGAGGAAGGTGATGAATACGGCTGCTGTGGCAAGGAGGTACCATGGGCAGATAGCGAAGGACAGAACTACATCATATCAGTAACTGCAAGACTAGACTCGTTGGCCAATACTGACTAGCACAGATAAAGAATCCTCGTTTAACAGTAATGTACCGAGGAAGTAAAGCTGCAATGTCATTTCCGGCGCTGCATAGTATGAGCGATTAATCAAAAATAGGCCATCGAAAATATAGGATACTCACGGAATAGAGTTCTCGAAAATGGCGGAAAAGACAGTCGAGTACACGAATGCCAATGAAATGAACGCACAAGCAGCGCGGTTGCCCGGCGTGTATCTTTCTCCATCCATCAGCTTGTCCAAAATCGTCAGGGGATTCCATATCAGCTGACTTCGTTAGTATATGGCCTATATGGAAATTCGTGAGGAAAGATGAGACGTACCTCCCCAAATATGCTTCTGCTACATCCAGCAATGATGTTGCCGATGACAGCCACCAGTAATCCAGAGAGCGGAAAGCTGATGACCTGTGCTAGGATCACGTCGCTAGGCTTCCTTGCGTACCGCTGGAGGTCCGCGGCATTGGAAATAAAGGTCCCGCAGCTGGCCAGCCCCAAAAACAGGAACTTGCAAATTAGCCAGCTCTTGGCTCTCCCATGAACTGTCGATGCCTCATGAATAGCAGGAGGGTTACCCCCAGCCAGGCGTACTGCCCAAGCTAACATGGCGAAAGCGCCGCCATAGTAGACTACCACTTTGATGTAGATAAGCTTCTTCATCTTAGGCACAGGAACCACGAGGAAAGCGCAGTTGATAAGCCTGTCGCCTATTAGCGGCTGGCAGTATTCGGGTGAACTCGTATGTACCAGTAAACGAGAAAGCATATCATCTGGGCAGACGACAAGGCAGACTTTGGTCCCATCCTATCAGGAATACGAGCAATTGATGGGAATATTGCATGCAGGAAAACACTGGATCGGTCTCAGTCATGTGCATCGGAAAGGACCGCGACACTTACTATAAACACTGGGCTCCTTGGGTGACATTGACGCCGTTCCACACAATACTCATAACCGCCCGGTTGAACGTTGGCCAGAGGGCACCCCAAGGACCAAAGCTAGAACGACATAGGACTGGAAAGGGGATTCGATACATCGCACCAGCCCGCCCATTGAGAGCCATTAGGCACCCTGCGAGGAACTGGCCGGTAAAGGAGCAGGCGATGGCCTCCCACATGGTCAATCCCATGGATACGCCGGTGCTTGATGCGTACAAGTTGCTCACATTGGCCGTAGCCGAGAACCAGAAGAAGAGGTATGTGAGGCGTGTCCATTTTCGGTCCTTGGTAGGTGTTGGTCGGATCGAGTCATTATCCAGAACGCCAACGGGTCTGATATTACCATTTTGATCCACACTCTTGACAAGCAACCGCTCGTGGATCCCTTCCCATATGGAACTCATGTTGTCGGTTCTGAGATCTGCGGTTTGACACAGATTGATGCTGGCCCTCGGTCGCATTTATTTAACTGACCACTCAGGCCGATAAGGAATGCCATGATTCTGTAGCGGTCAGACACACCTTATCTCTTGGCTGCGACCTAAAGCGGCTTGGAATGACTCCTTTATCATCTGGGCAGACCAGGTTCCTCCTTTGTGCCAGTGTCATTTAAGCTCGGGCCAATGAGGGGTGGAGGTTTGTATCGCCATGCTTATCAACTCATTCGGCCTCGACCGTCTTCCCCACCAAAGAGATTGCGGGGATTGCCGTGGCAGCACACCATCGGAGATATATCATCGCTATTAAGAAACACCAGGCAGGCCAAATAGTCAAATAGCCCTACAAGGCCAGACCAAAGCAAAACTAAGCGACCGTGGGGATGACCTGTACGATGACTGCTATGGCTACGCCCCAATATACCCATGTCGAGCTACTGACACTGAACGGACCGGAATACCGCAGGGTGTCAACTGCCCCTCCCCGACTCCCGAGCGACGATGAGATTCCTGTGATTGATCTTGTCGGTATTGATGGCGACCTGGACGCACGTACTGTACTCGCGGGAAAGATCCGCGCTGCTGCTCAGAATACAGGATTCTTCTACATCAAGAATCATGGGATTGCCGAGGAGATGATCGCGGGCGCTCTTACGCAAGCCAAAGCCTTTTTCCATCAGCCGCAGGAGGAAAAAGAAAAGGTATCCAACTTCAAGTTGATGCATATGGATGGATACCACGCGGTAGGAACTACCCAGGTCAACAAATCTGAGACAAAGGGTCAGCCTCACAATTAATAGTGTGCGACGGGTCACTAACTACGTGACAGACCGGAAAGAAACCTTTTCCCTTCGCTACAACGGCCGCAATGACCCAGCCATGGGACCAGACACCCCAGATGATCGGATCTGGGATGACTCGGCCCTTTGGGCTGGGACCGCCCATCTCCCAAACTTTCGCGAAACCACCATTTCGTTCTGGCAAGCACGATTAGCCTTGGCGAGAAAAATGGTCCGTATTTTCGCCCTTGCATTGGATCTCCCCGAGGACTATTTCGATAGTGTCGTCACCCACCCCGGCGCCGATGGCCTATACATCCACTACCCTGGTACACCTGAGGCCGAACTGAAAGACGATAAAATTGACGTTGGAATCGGTTCACATACCGACATTCAATGTTTCACATTACTCTGGCAGGACATGTCGGGAGGTCTGCAAGTCTTGTCGTCATCTGACGAATGGTTAGACGCTCGACCCATCCCGGGCACACTTGTCGTCAATATTGGGGATTTCCTGCAGCGCTTATCCAACAAACGGTTTAGATCCACGGTGCACAGAGTATATAACCGGCAAAGCACATCGCGGTATTCGATGCCGTTCTTCTTCGGGTTCAATCCCGAGACGGTGTGTCAGGTTGTACCGTCCTGTGTTGATGAACAACATCCCGCACTTTTCGAGCCAATTTCATGTGGAAAGGTAGGCATATCAGGTCCGACGATTGCTGGAAATATTTGGCTAACGGGAGTAGTGGCACCGCGATCGACTGGCTCTTGCTCAAGGCAAGCTGGCTACTGCATGAAAATCGAGTGTTAGCACATGTTAGTTATTATAACCGGGAAACATCACTTATCCAACCCCTTCAGGGGTTTACATCGGTGTAGTTATTTCAGTCCTTTTGAATGTTTCACTTTGGCTATAGCTTCCCTGTAGCAGCTGAGACCAATGCTCCACAAAGTACAACCTTCGATGGTTGTTTCCATCCGAAATAATGTCATATCCATCTTTGTAAGTGCTAGGAATAACAATCAAGGCAATGACTATACCTGTTGTAGCACTTTATTGTTCGAGGCAAGACGTGGGAGGAGGGTGGACAAGTGAGAAGATGCGTAACCTTAAGAGGACTACGCCTGTATTTGCTGGCCTGGATCCGACATGTGACCTGGGTCCATTCGGCACAGATAACTTCCATTCACGGTATTTTCATTGATAGTACTTCCTGGATCATCGTCTACAGCCTGGGCAGCCTTGGCAGGTATCAGACACATACGGATCCCTTTGCTTGATAGCCATCAAAAAGTTCGGACGGACAACACACCAACAGTATCGTCATATTGGATCTAGCTGCAATCATGAACGTTTGCAAATGAATTTGACTGCTAAGTGGAAGACATAAGACGCTTTCATTCGATGCAAACCATTCTACCGCAGGATTCAACAACCCTCACCACCAACTCCTCACCGCCGAAAACGCTCACTTTCCGCCCTCAAATATGATCTTTTGCGATCGCATATGATTGAAATCGTCATATCTGCTGATTATTAGCCTCGCCTTGTATATAAAGAACATACACTTACGCTTGGACAGCCTCCGATAGTGGTCGCACATCGGTTACCATGAAACTGGACGTATTGTCAGTACAATATATACATCTCGCATCCGTCCACCGAACTTACTCAAGAGTATCCTGCTTCTGAACCAGCAGCTTCAACGCATCTTCGAAGGTGCCTATAGTACAGTTGTCAGCTTCATAATAATCTACCAATAAAACGATCAACCTACTCCGAACCGGGCATCGTCCCATCTGAATCTGAAGATTCTTCCCGTACGCCTGATTGCCCGTCCACGGAATCTCGCCATTATGCACTCCCACACTCGAGATCCGACCCCAGGGCCGTAACATCTCAAACGCCATAGCCAGCGCACTACTATGTCCCACCACCTCAATCGCCACATCGGCTCCTCTTCCCTCAGTCAACTCCTTCACCCTCTCCCTTAGCCCATCTGCCTGCGTCTGGAAATTCCACGGCTCGGCCCCCAACCG